TGACTGCTGCCAAAAGTCATTGATTCAGCTTTTTTTTACATTGTAAACAAGCCAGCAGGCATCCTGGGTGACATTCAGTGGCATAACAATCGCCATAGCGTCCCAGGCGGCCGCTATGGGGCCCAGGGCACAGGGGGGCCCGGCCAGATGCCGAGCGGACCGCCTGGGTCGCTATGGCATCCTCTGCTGGTGGCTTTCACTGGCGGCTCTGAAGAAGAATGCGCTGCTGTTCAGATCACTAATACCGTAATCTGTGCAGTAGCGCGTTCGTCTCCAAAACCGCTGCTGAGTCAATGAGAGCCAGCAGCGGCGGTGGAGGAGGCTGGACCCGGCAGTGGAGGAGGAGCCAGTGGGGCCCGTGGTCGACAGCAGGGGAGGAGGCGGGGCCCGGTGATGGAGTAGGAGGCGGGCCCGGCGAAGGAAGAGGATCAGGGCCCAATACAACATTTTGCTATGGGGCCCTGTGATTTCTAGTTACGCCCCTAGTGACATTATTGACCAAATATCGTAACTGTCATTTGCAATGGGAGGATTAACGTGGCATGGTTCATCAGCTGTGAAGGGGAGACTCTGATGTCAAAGGAGTGGCTCCCGATGTGAAGTGGGGGCTCTGATATGAAGGGAACTCCTGATGTGAAGGTTGGACTCTGATATGAAAAGGGCTCCTGATGTGAGGGGGGGGGCTCTGATGTGAAAGGATAATTAATCCATGTACCTTGCCGCACTCCATATCGAATATTCCAAAGATAACGAATGCTTGCAATGACTGCGGATGGCGCCGCTCAAAATCCAGTAATAAATGCAAATGTCACCAGCACTCCAATACGAAGATTCACGTCAGTGCAAATCCATTTTAATGATAGATGTCAAAGGACAAGCGCTTTTTCGGGGCCGCACAGGGTCCCCTTCATCAGGCTCATTCATTATCTAAGGGGTCGACATTGTCCCCCTCATCAGGCTCAATAATGATCTAAGGGGTCGCACAGGGTCCACTTCATTAGGCTCAATAATGATCTAATGGGTCGCACAGGGTCCCCCTCATCAGGCTCAATAATGATCTAAGGGGTCGCATAGGGTCCCCTTCATTAGGCTCAATAATGATCTAAGGGGTCGCACAGGGTTCCCTTCATCAGGCTCAATAATGATCTAAGAGGTCGCACAGGGTCACCTTCATCAAGCTCAATAATGACCTAAGGGGTTGCACAGGGTCCTTTTCATCAGGCTCAATAAGGTCATCATTGAGCCTGATGAAAGGGACCCTGCGTGGCCCCAAAAGTGCTTGTCTTTTGACATCTATCATTAAAATGGATTTGCACTGACATGAATCATCGTATTGGAGTGCTGTTGACATTTGCATTTGTTACTCTGATGTGAAGGGGGCTCCTCATGTGAAGGTGGGGCTTTAATGTGAAAATGAGGACTCTAATTTGTGTGGGATTCCCCCTAGATTCTATACCAGACCCCAATCTAGGATAAGGGTTTGGTATGAATTTTGGGGGGACTTTTTAACATTTACATTTTTTTTAATTCTAGACTGGGGGGGTCAAGACTGAAAAGAGGACTCAAACTGCTAACAAGTGACATCTATCTGCTTCAGACAAAGCTAGACAATCAGTAGCTCTGCCTAAACGCAGCAACCATACAATGTCAGCGGTCAGGTATCAGCCACTAAAGGAGGCCCAGTGCAGCTGCCAGGTAAATATTAAACAGTATTTCAGCAGTTTTGGTTATAGGACAGCATGGGGGGTGTAAGAGACTGCCATTACTTTTACAAGATAAGTTCACTTTAAGTCTTTTTCGAACCTGATTAAATTAATTTGATTTTTTTTTAAATCTTCTCAGCAAACATTAACACGTGCATAAATGCAATCCGTGATGGAGCAGCAGCCAGTCATGGGAGATTTTGATTGCACAGCACAACATGAATAAAAACTGCACGTGTAACCAAGCCCTTAGTATTCTTCATTCTAATGAAACAAAAACTTCCCAAGTGCTTCTGACCGATGTTGGACATCTTAGGAAGAGCAGTGTGATTTTAAGCCCCTTTATATGTTGCTCAGAATAATGATGAGGTAGGGAGATGGATGTTATTTTTGACTAATTTGAACAAAATATCTGTAAAAAATAAATCAAGGCAACTGGACTTGCTGTATTTTTCTTGAAGACATTTCGCTGATCATCCGACTAGCTTTTTGAATTGCGAAAGCTAGTCAGATGACCAGCAGAAAGTCTTCAAAAAATACAGCTAGTCCAGTTGCCTTGATGTTTTTTTTACAAATAAACCATGACCTGCATGAATGAGAACCTTCGTATGAGGATGAGTAGAAATCACTCACCTTATAGTTCTCCTTTAAGTAACACAGTTTTTTTTACATAAATTGCAGAAATATCTTTAAAAACTTTTAGAAGTTTTCAAATTGCAGTGCAACAGCACAACATCCATATTAAATGTAGTGTAAGTATGCAAACCTACAAAAGCAAAATGCTAATAAAAATGTGAAAATAATAAAGCACAGCAAAGGCATAGTAGAGTCTTTCATACAGAACAAGATGGATGAGATAGTGGCCGTAACTTTTAAAGCAAGTTAAGAATCAAAAGCGAAGGAATTTTTGTTGTCCTACAGCATCACATAGGAAACTAATTGTATTTTCCATAAACATTGCTTTATAATGCATCATAGTTTTTATTATATTACAGTGCAAAGCTGCACAATACAATAACCAGTTTTCAAGCAACCTAAACCACGACGGCCAGAGCATACAAACATGCAAAAAAATACATGGATTAATTAAAAAATGATTATAGTGCAGTGAAAAGGATTAGAACCATCGCTGTTCACCTGCCACCTAAATAAACAGGGACACACAAACCAAATGAAGTAGCCGCACAAAGTTAGATTTTGATGCAAAACAAGGGTCGACTGGACTGGACTGAATACAGTCTGAATGAAATGTTTTGATTGGCTAGCTAGACATATAACCTGCTTATCTGACATATCAAAATCAAACTAAGTATGACCTCTTTAGTTTCTATGCCAGTCGTTCTCAACCTTTCTATCACAGAGGAACCCTTTAAATAATTCATGGGTCTCAGGGAACCCCTGCTGAACATGTTCATATCTGCAGCTCAAGGTACATTAGAGTGATCAATAGGTTGTAGCTATAATAAAAGAATAGGTTATGACCCAAAGAGGATCATTTTCTAACACCCCCTTCCTCCACTACACAACTAATAATAATAATAGAAAGAAAAGGAATGCAGATAGTGAAAATTGTAGTGTACGATTAGAGTGGTGGTCAGTGAAAAAATTAGTGGTGATTATAAAAAAGTGCCCCTCTAAATTTTAAAGTTGTAAAGCTTTTCTTTACAATGGTGGTCAGCAGGATAGGTGCCCTCCTTACATTGGTGGTCATTAGGATAGGTGTCCCCTTACATTGGTGGTCAGCAGGATAGGTTCCCCCTTACATTGGTGGTCAGCAGGATAGGTGTCCCCTAACAACGGTGGTCAGCAGTAGGGATGTTCAGATACCAAGTACTGTACTCCGCACAAGTACAAATAAAGACTAGACTAGAGAAAAACTCAAAAGTTAGGAGGCAGCTGTGTTTTTTAAGGATCATATGGAGCTCCTGGGATTTGTACATCTCTGTTTTAATGTATGTTTTTTTTTTTTATAAATATATATGCACCAATATCATTTTTCAAGTGCAAGTACTGATACTTGTCCAAGTACTCACAGATACAAGTACTGATACATTTTTGTTTATTGTCATGTGACAGTTTTTCTAAAACAATACAGACTAATGATTTCAGGACAGTGGTGGAGGGCCAGAGCGAGGTTCCAGCTGCAACCGGTGCAACCCTGGTAGTTCTCGTGAAAATGCCAAGTATCGGCACTGGTATCTGAACTGCTATCTGGACATCCCTAGTCAGCAGGATAAGTAACCCCCTTACATTGGTGGTCAGCAGGACAGGTATGCCCTTAGATTGGTGGTCAGCAGGATAGGTACCCCCTTACATTGGTGGCCAGCAGGGTAGATGTCCCCTTACATTGGTGGTCAGCAGGACCGGTATGCACTTACATTGGTGGTCAGCAGGATAGGTGCCCCTTACATTGGTGGTCAGCAGGATAGGTGCCCCTTACATTGGTGGTCAGTAGGAGAGAAGAATACTTACAATGGCAGTCAGTAGAAGGTATATCATGTAATAATGCTCACTGTTCAAGGAACCCCTAGCAACCCTAGAACGCTGGTTGAGAAACGCTGATCTATACTGTAAATTACACCATAGCTGGTAACTATAATTATTTTTGCTTTGCAGTAATTGATAATGTCTATTCCATAATTTTTGAACTAACATAATAAATCAGAGGTGACTTGCAGATGCAAAAATCTCTTAGCTGAAAGATAGCACTGCATTATCAATACTTTTTTTAAAATTTTATGCAGAACTATATTTATTTGTACTACATCCCTGTACATAAACATAGCAACCAAACCGTAACAAATTAACTCAACCCTGAACACAGCAATACAGGTACTCCTCATATAACGATCTACCTGTTTAACGACCATTCAGACCAGAACAAGAACTTGGGTATTTACAGTATGCAAACCTAGGTAATTGACCGTTCGGACTTACCACCAGTTCTCCGACCAGTCAGTATTGCACACTGTACAAGAACTTGGGTATTTAAAGTATGCAAACCTAAGAAATCGACCATTTGGACTTACAACCAGCTCTCCAAACGGTCTGTATTGTACACTGTACTTTATAACAGAGTTGATTTCCTCTATTCCTCGCTTAGCGACCAATTCGGTTAACGACCTAGTCATAGGAACAGAACTCGGTCATTAAGTGAGGAGGATCTGTACAGAAATGGAAATTGGGATCAGGAACAGGGTGGGTGTTTCCGGGGTCCACTCACTCTTACATGTGACCTATGTCAACTTTGCCAAGCTAATTTGCAATAAAAAGCGATAATAAAAAATTTACACTTACTCCAACTTTTTAAAACTTTCCCTTCCTGCCGCCACATAGCATTCTCCTGGCTGAAGGTCGCCCAGAGACGTGACCCTGTGTCCATTTCTAGGAGTATAAAGGTTCCTCACGGCTCCAAAGGGGGCTTGCACTCCGCCGGTGACATCCTTCAGGAAGACCTCAAACGTGCCAACCCTCTTCTCATGAATCAGCATTCGGCGGCCACGATAAAAGGAGTCTCCATTTCTGTAAACGTGCACTGCTTTGACAGCAGGCTGTTGAGCGAGGGGGGCCAAGGATCGCCCTCCACCCCCTGCAGCTGGAGTCGGCTGCATACTCCACGCACCGACTGGCTCACCTGCCATGTCCGCACTCCCTGAAAGTGACAAGTCCACAGTCAGTCACTCGAATAAATGGTTCCTTGCAGTGTAAACTCTTAGGAGGATTCCAGGATATTAGCAACTAGCTTGTGTTGGTGTGTGACTTTAGGTATCTGTCTTCTATTGTCTTCTGTCATATATAATTATCTGTCACGGTGTACCTGTGTTTAGTCTTTCCTAACAACTCATACCATGAATGTTAATAGTCAATGAATGATCTGTGGATCTTAGATTGCGTGTCTACATGTCAATCAAATCTATTTTAGCAGCACATCGGAGTGAACGTCTTCTGATTCTATGCAGCCTGCACACCTCTCTGTGTTGTTGAGTGCTGTTGTCACGGCCAGTGTGAGGTCTGAGCAATGCTGCAAGGACCAGTGACACCTGCTGCTGCTGCTGCACCCTCCCTGTTCTCCTTCTCCCTCCTGACCACGCCTGCTAGCTGTGTGCACACTGACACCTTATATAAATAATGCAAGAGTACCAGTCTTCATTCCCTGCCTCCAGATCCCCCCTCATCATTACCCAGCTACACAATCCTATACACAGATCATGACAAATACCTTCCCCTCTTCTCCAGATCTCTACGATCAGCTGCCCTGCAGCAGAATTTTTGTTTTCTGAAGCTTCATCTGGTATCCATGGTAACTTCCTTGACACTGATCACATGGTGTGCATCTTGACACACCCCTTTCTTGCCATGTGCCCGAGCAGCCTTTACGTGTTGTGATGCTGCTGTGCTGTGATGTCAGGATTTACCAGCAATCTGTCCACCCGGAGACCGCCAAATCCAAACGCCGGGCTGCTTTATGTAGAGAAAAGGAAATGTTCACAGATGGCCATGGGAAATATTGTGACAAATAACATAAAACGCTGTTTAATTCCAGTCTAGTCATGGCTGGTTCCCACCACACTGCATGTAATGCATAGGGCAGCACAGTGGTGTAGTGGTTAGTGCTTCTGCCTTGCAGTACTGGGGGTCCCTGGTTCGAATTCCAGCCAGGTCACTATCTGCAAGGAGTTTGCATGTTCTCCCTGTGCTTGCGTGGGTTTCCTCCCACATGTTGCGGATATAAATGCATGGGATATATTCCTCCCACATGCTGGGGATATAAATGCATGGGATATATTCCTCCCACATGCTGGGGATATAAATGCATGGGATATATTCCTCCCACATGCTGGGGATATAAATGCATGGGATATGCTGTGGGTTGCAATGCATTGCTATAAGGCCCCATCCACACCAGGGCATATTGTGACTGTGCGTCAAACATGCGCGCTTCAACACATATTCATTATACGTGCACAAACACATAATGCACTTGCGTTGCCCTTACTAGGTAATAGCACCCCAAACGTAGCCAAGCAAACACAGTTTTTCTTCACGCACAAGAAAGCACTCGAACGAGTGGGGGGAAAATGCGGAACGCATGTCGCCAAATTTGCAACATTTACTTCTTTTCCGCAATAGGCGCGCATCCAGGGACCCAATGGGGAACGCTCGCCAAACACGGGAAACAAAGCACAGCAAACTTGTGGGAACATGCGTTCCTCCAACGCGCGTACTAACTACGCCCTGGTGTGAACGGGGCCTAACACATTGCAGTGTTTGTTTGTTTTTTAACCTCAATGTAAAATGGGCTGCACTGCGATCAAATGATGCCTGTATCCTTTTGTCACAAAGCACATCAACGCAGCGCATTGCTGTAAACCGGCCCTATACAAAGCAAGGCTTTTTATCTTGTCCTAAAGTATTAAAATGCATCATCAACACTACCCACGGACATCCCTACAATTCTCACCGCCTGAGAATGGGTAGTGGGGAGTGGGTAGTTCTATGTGCTGGCGGTGCAGGTCCGGGGTGGCTGGAGGGCCTTGGCTAGGGTTGTCACCCTTTCTTCCAGCAAAACCCGAACACTTTAGCAACGCATGTAAAAAAAATTTGGGAGAATGAGTCACAACTTATTCATATGTAAATAGCGCCACCCAGCCTCGACTATTTTCAGTGGGGGGAGGCCACTAGCCCCTATCTTAATTTTGGTTGCCCCTGTCTGCCTGACATCTTTTATCTGGGTTTAAGCTGCCATGGAACCCGGACACAGCATTCAAAACCCGGACTGTCCGGGTGAATCCTGGACAGGTGGCAACCCTAGCCTTGGTTGTGCTGGCTGTGCAGGTCAGAGGGGGTTGGAGGGACTTGGTTGTGCTGGCTGTGCAGGTCCGAGGGGGTTGGAGGGCCTTGGTTGTGCTGGCTGTGCAGTCCGAGGGGGTTGGAGGGCTTTGGTTGTGCTGGCTGTGCAGGTCCGAGGGGGTTGGAGGGCCTTGGTTGTTCAGGTCCGGAGGGTTGGAGGGCTTTGGTTGTCCTGGCTGTGCAGGTCCGAGGGGGTTGGAAGGCCTTGGTTGTGCTGGCTGTGCAGTACGAGGGGGTTGGAGGGCCTTGGTTGTGCTGGCTGTCCAGGTCTGGAGGGTGCTGGTGGTACAGACTGGGGGGAAGGAATGGGCACGACTATCCCGCTCTGCCTGCCCTCCACGTGGCCAAAAGAGATGCTGCCTGAGGGTGCCACATTATAGGGACGGTCCTGGGTGACCGCACTTGGACACAGACAGTGGGCAGGTTTGGCACACCATACGGGTGTGCACACCTGTGTGAATGAGCTTGTGTGAACTGGTCATAATCCAATAGAATTTAGTTTGAAATTTGTCATTTTCAGAACATGTCATTGGTTTTCTAACAGTTAATGGGCTTTAATTTGACAGCAGTGATGAGGAAAATCAAGTGAAAAGTATGGAATTGGTTTCTTATCTGAACTAATGAAATTCTGACTGTCGTTTGGGAAAAATCGCACATATTGTGATGCTCATGAGCCAGGCACAAAAGAAACCTGCTTCACACATCTGGGATTCCATTCAAGTGGCATTTCTAACTCAATGATGGCGTTACGGAACGTTCTGATGAACACTTTTGAGCGAATGTTTGAAGGAAATGATAACAATGTATGGGCAGCTTTATAACTACTATTGAACTGCTGGGAATCTGATGGTGTCACTGAGATTCCCATCTGTTCGAGCCTAAAAAGCAAAAAGCACACCAAATCTGAGCAAGTGCACATTCCATCCAGTTAATGTTCAACCAAAAGAACCTCTTGGGGTGTTTTTACAGACACAGCCAGACTGAGCAAGATACAAGAAGAATTTCCACCCGAAGATAGACAGTCTGACATTGGATCCACTCCCACCCATCACAACACGCACACAGAAATACACACATGCACCATATTCAAATACTTTACTTTGCCATTTATTTCAAGTAGTAGTAAACTCTCAAACCTTTTTCAAACTCAATAATAAAGCCAGATCAAACAAATATACATTGCCCTGCAAAACACTTACAGTCATGTTCCCAAACAGCTGGCTCCAACTCTCTCAGCTCTGCTTCCCTGAACTTCCTGTCCAGTACAACATCACAAAGGACAGAGCAGTCTCCAGCAGCCTTCCATCTACTAGCTTGGAGAAGGGAGGAGGGATGAGCGGGGAGCAGGGAGTAGGGGAATGGATTGCCTTGCTGTGCCTGTGTTTATGGAGACACACATAGCTTACTAGCACACACAAGGGTGGCTCCATAGGGCCCTGCAGGATATCAGGAGACCAGCTGATTCTGCAGGTAACTAAAACTTTGAAACCTCAAGAAGCATCAGCCATTGTAAGTGATTTCATCAGCATTTGACATTGTTTAAAAACATTTCGACTTTAAATGTACAAATGTAGAAAACAACTTTTTTATACAATGTTCTAAATCCTTTGTAGAATAAAAAAAAAAAACTATTTGGCCAATAAACCTTTAACACCCGGTGCATCAGATAGTTCCACCTTGGTTAAGAGAGAGTAGGTGTGGAATCTGATCTCTCCTGCTTCTATAACAAATAACACTGATTGAAAGCTGCTGATATTTCATAGAACTTTCCACCTGCTGGCTTTGAGCGCTGAGCCCTCATTCACACTGTAATCGGCCCGCACGTACAGCTCCGTGCTGCGTGCACGGCCGTAACGAGCAGCTCCCGGGAAGGACAGGGGCTGCGTGTGATTAGTACGCAGCCCCCGTCCTTCTCTATGGGAGTATGCGGCCGTACGCCCCCCTACGCTCACCCCAAGTGCAGGTCCGTACGGGTACGGTGAGCGAACTCGTACACAGTCAGGATAGATCCTGTCTGCGTCCGAGCGAGGAAACACGTACCCCTACAGACGTGCAGGGCGGGTGAGCGTAGGGGGGCGTATAGCCGTGTACTCCCATAGAGAAGGACGGGGGCTGCACCAGTCCTTCCCGGGAGCTGCCCAGTACGGCCGCGTACGCAGCACAGAGCTGTACGTGTGGGCCGATTACAGTGTGAATGAGGGCTAAGTGTGAAAAATTCAAATGTACCGTATTGCAAAGAAATGATAAAACGATTGTCACAGTGTTGTTTGTTGTTCTGTACTGACCATGCAGTATTAGATACATAAAGTATATGACCTGCCAGGGCAGGAAAAGAAGAGCTGCCGTGGCAGACATTTTTAAAGATGCATGCTCCGAGGTTATCATCCTTAGGGTGCCCACACACCTTACGATAATCGTACGATAATCGCGGGAAATCCCGCGATCGTACAATTATCGTAAGGTGTCTGGAAGCCGTGCGACCTCTACTACTGTAAGGTCGCACAACTTTTATCTTACGGACATGTTCGAAAACCCGCCGAGCATCGTACGACGTTCGGCGGGTGTGTAGCATGTTCGTACGATAAAAGCAGGACGGGCCGGTGTGCTCAAGTGCACAATGCCTGTTCGGTGTTGGGTCATCGGAAGCCCGCCCCTCAGGGGGGCGCGGCTTGCGATCATCGCAAGTACGATCTGCCTGTCCAAGATAGGCAGATCGTACGTTTTTTTAAGTACCTTACAACCATCGCAAGACAGACGTCTTGCGATGGTTGTAAGGTGTGTGCCCAGCATTATCCTTGTTTTACTACTTAGTCCGATCAGGTGTCCTGACAAATCACTGCATGCTTTTTTCAGGTGATTGACTTAATAGGTATTGTATCAAGAATAAGGATTACCACCCCAGAGTTTGCACCTTCATAAACAAGAAGTGGTGGTGCCCATATTTCAGTCCTGACAAGTTCCTTTTAATAATACCTGTACCGTAATTCTTGACATATCTCACCCCATAGTATATCCTGTATAGCCTAGTTATCAGTGCAGAACAGAGGTAGGCATCCTCGGCGCTCTATCTGTGATGAAACTACAAATCCCATCATGCCTCAGTCTCTGGGAGGGTTGTCAGTGTAGCAGTGCCTCATGGGACTTGTGGTTTCACAACAGTTGTAGTGTTGAGATTGCCTAGCCCTTGTGTAGAGGGAATCCATTACTGCTGTCCCAGCAGAGTACCCTTGCCTTCCCCCTGTCTATATAAAACTAGTCCCATCATACGCTACATATCATTCTATTACATCTGTAGAACTACAAGTCCCAGCACACTAGATTTACCTTTCTCTTGTCTGTGTAGAACTACAAGTCCCGGCACACAATATTTACCATTCTCCTGTCTCTGTAGAACTACAAGTCCCAGCACACTATATTTACCTTTCGCCTGTCTCTGTAGAACTACAAGTCCCAGCACACTATATTTACCTTTCTCTTGTCTCTGTAGAACTACAAGTCCCAGCCTACCAGTTTTGCATTTCTTCTATCTCTGTAGGACTACAAGTCCCAGCACACTATATTTACCTTTCTCTTGTCTCTGTAGGACTACAAGTCCCAGCACACTATATTTACCTTTCTCTTGTCTTTGTAGAACTACAAGTCCCAGCACACAATATTTACCATTCTCCTGTCTCTGTAGAACTACAAGTCCCAGCACACTATATTTACCTTTCTCTTGTCTCTGTAGAACTACAAGTCCCAGCACACTATATTTACCTTTCTCTTGTCTCTGTAGAACTACAAATCCCAGCACACTATATTTACCTTTCTCTTGTCTCTGTAGAACTACAAGTCCCAGCAGACTATATTTACCTTTCTCTTGTCTCTGTAGAACTACAAGTCCCAGCACACTATATTTACCTTTCTCTTGTCTCTGTAGAACTACAAGTCCCAGCACACTATATTTACCTTTCTCTTGCCTCTGTAGAACTACAAGTCCCAGCATACCAGTTTTGCATTTCATCTATCTCTGTAGGATAGGGTTGCTACCCATCCAGTTCTGAACTGGACAGCCTGGTTTTTATAATTGTGGACTGGTTTTATATTAGGGCTGTGGAAATGTGTGATCCCAGTTCATTTTATTACTTCATTGCTGTGCTGTATGTGTATAGGCCAATGTAGTTGGATCTGTATGTGCGTTATAATTAATCGAAATTAATCGATTAAAAATAAATTCGATAAATCGAACACGAAAATTTTAATCAGTACCAAGCCCTAGTTTTATAACTGGTATGCAGAGTGTCCTGTTAAGGCATTCTCTATAGCAAACTGGACTTCTGCTCTTCTACCGTTCTGTCCAGAGCAATCTGCGCGGCTCGACTGACAGTTTTAGTGAGGCTGACAGTGGCTCCTAAGGGAATGAAGCCTGCAAGCAATACTTGCAGGCTATTGAAAAAGTTGACAACTTTTTCAATAATCGATTATAATCGATTATGTCGATTAGTTGTTGCAGCCCTATTTATTTGTGAATACAATGTAGCAAGGTGTGAGGGATAAATACATTGCTATAAGATCTGAAGGATTAAGAGAGAACTATGGGATAAGTGTTTTCCCCCGTAGTTCTCTTTAGGGTCACGGGAGAACATATACTAGCGTCCTCACGTGACCCAAAGCTCAGAATATCGCGAGCTACAGCTCGCGGTATACTGAGACCGCCGCAGCTGGGACGGATCCCGACAATGCGGTCGAGATCCACCCAGCTGCGGGAGTGACAGCGGGCTCTGCCTATCTAGAGGCAGAGCCAGCTGTACCCGCCCCCTCCCCCATCTGTTCCTCCAGTCAGTGCTGGAGGATCGGAGTGGGGGGGAGGGAATCCCTGTGGGGAGCTGTGAGTGACAAGCACCGCTCTCTGTAGGGAGATCATCGAGAAGTGGGCGAGCGCCTACCGTCGCTCGCTCACTTCCCGATCTATTGAGCCGATGTGTGACAGTTTAATTGTCCCACGTCGGCTCAAACTATGAGGCTGAGAAATTTTTACTCATCTCATAGTTCTCCTTTAAACATATCAGGAAGTGAAGAGGTAATGAGTCAGTCAACGGTAAGGGGGTCATTTATAAAAGTTCTGCCCATTAGCACTGATGAGTATAGGAAATTTCTATACTCATCAGCTCCATCTAGGCCTAGGGGCACTAGTGCATACGGCATCTGTGTGGAGCTTTCAAAAATTAACTAAGGGGTCTATTCACAAACCTGCCGAAGGATCCAGCCGTAGCTTCGGCTGATCCTGCGGCTAGCTTCGGTTGCGAGAGCTGAAGGGCTGCTGTACAGGTTATTCACTATAGCCCGTACAGCTCCCGAAGGCGGCCGAGCGGTTCAGGCCTTGCAAATGACAGCATGACGGAGACAGCCGTGATCTCATGGCTGGCTCCGCCCCGTTGCAGTGACAGATCAGCATCCCCTTTGACCTGGGGACGCTGATCTGTCATTAAACAATAACTGGGTGGAGCCGGCCGTGACGTCAGGGCCGTCTCTGCTCAGTTGTTATTCATTGGCCGGGACCTGCTATGTTTTTTTAATCTTTATTTTTTTTAAGTTTATTTATTTACATTTTTAAACATTTTTATTCAACTTTTTTTTTCCCAACTTTTTTCACTATTCGCTATTCTGCTCGGTACCATGGAGGTTACGAGCAGAATAGCTGAGCCGAATGCTGCTCGGCGGCCTTCGACTAATCACTCACTGCCGTTCGGTCTCTATGCGAGTGAGCTGCCGGAGCTTCGTCTCAGCCGACCCAGATGTTGGATCAGCTGAGTCAAAGTCCTTCTGCACTTCAGAGCATGTTCGGCTGACCGAAGTGCAGCCGATATACGGCTGAAATCAGCCGTACTGAGCCGTTGTGAATCGCCGAACGTTGTTCGTCTCACTTCTCTTCGCCTGCGTTATTCACTCGCCATCCTTTGGCAGCTTTGTGAATAACCCTGTAAGTTCTAAGTGGATATCATTATACTTGGGACCAACAGAGATTTGCATTCAGGTCTAAGGAAGCTGTTCACAGCTTTGCAATTTGTCGTGCGGTAGAAATCACCTGTCGCGTAAAAAGGTGCAGGAGATATTTTCAGACAGTTGTCGCACGGTTTGGGTCCCATAGACATCTCTATGCATCAAAAACGGAGCAGTTTTCACAGCACAATCGCGCAAACAAAAATGTTCGACAACCGCACGAAAACAGCTCACCAGCTCAATCGCCTAGGTGTGGACCTAGCCTCAGACAACACATGATGTCAGTTTGGAAAAATTGCATGTGTAATATTTTTCTAAAATAAAATATGTTCTTATACAAATCCTTATTAATACCTCATTGGCTTTATTTGTGTAAAGCACGTCATCGCAGCCAAAGGCCCCGTTCACACCAGGGCAGTTTGCTCAGGCGTATTTGTCCCTGCTGAACAGTCGACATGAACAATCCCATACATTCCTTTGGGGACCCTTCATGCAAGCACGCGGATTTTCGAACCACCTGCCGCCCAAAATGGTCCCTGAGCTAATTAAAAACGTCCAAAAACGCACTTTCAAATATCTTGCGGAAACCACGCTGAAACGCTGGTGTAAGTGGGGTGCGCTTTAAAACGCGCAAAACGCCAGTAGGAAAACGCGCATATGACGCGCTTATGAAAAACGCCCAGGTGTGAATGGGCTGTAAGGCCTGGTTCACATGTACGTGATTTATTGCGCATATTTAGCCCCGTGAAATCACGCAGAACACAAGTCAATGGAGGCTGTACAAACCTTTGCGTTGTGCCGCACGGGTGAAATCCGTTGTCGCACAAAAAAGTTTTTGCGCGGTTTTCATGCGGTTTTGGTTCCATAGACACCTCTATGCAGAGGAAACCGTGCAATGTCCGCATGGCGATCGCGCAAAAAAAAAAGGGCAAAACAGCTCAAGAATGCAATTACTTAGGTGTGAACCAGGCCTAAAGGGCAGACTGTGGTACTGACATGAGCATTCTGTCTGGACTGCAGTTGGAACCTCGGCTTGATGAAAATTCACCGGACCGCCTTGAATTTTAATTCACTTCCCCTGCTCTAGAATGTCTATAGACAACAGACGCGACAAAGATCGTTCTATAGGCTCAGCCAAAATGGCTCCCTCACTGGAGACAAATTAAACTAGGGAGAGTTTGCCCTCTAGTGGCTGGATCTGGTTAAAGCTCTGAAGTGTGTACGGTTCCGGTTGTGTAACCCATGTGGAATCTCACCCACATGATGGCAAATTGATTGTACTACAGAGGCCGTGAAGGGTCATTCTGCTGGAAGTACGGTGGTACAGTACCCTGCTGCTATGGACATGGCAGGTGCACTTGTCAGGCTTGTAGCAGCCGCCAGCAGGAGACATGGGTGCTGTATATTGAGACAGACAAGGACTTTCACAGCCAACTCCAGGAACTTCATCCCTGGCCAAGGACGTCATCCAAGGTGTTTTCCCTGGATGGTGAGACACTATGTACAGGAGAGGAAAGGTGAGAACATCTGTAATCGTGAACTGTAGACAGACATCTGTACTGAATTCTATCATGGAATGTCAGGCGATTGCCAGTAGCTAGATACAACCACGTCAGATTGTGTTTCCTGTATGCAAAAACTTTATATTTGCTTTTCTCCTGTCTCTGTAGAACTACAAATCCCAGCACACTATACTTGTCTCTCTCCTGTGTCTGTAGAACTACAGGTCCCAGCACACTATACTTGCCTCTCTCCTGTGTCTGTAGAACTACAGGTCCCAGCACACTATACTTGCCTCTCTCCTGTGTCTGTAGAACTACAGGTCCCAGCACACTATACTTGCCTCTCTCCTGTGTCTGTAGAACTACAGGTCCCAGCACACTATACCTTTCCCCTGTCTCAAGTCCCAGCACACTATATTTACCTTTCTCTTGTCTCTGTAGAACTACAAGTCCCAACATACTTTATTTACCTTTCTCCTGTCTCTGTAGAACTACGAGTCCCAGCACACTATATGTACCATTCTCCTGTCTCTGTAGAACTACAAGTCCCAGCACACTATATTTACCTTTCTCTTGTCTCTGTAGAACTACAAGTCCCAGCACACTATATGTACCATTCTCCTGTCTCTGTAGCACTACAAGTCCCAGCACACTATACTTGCCTCTGTAGAATAGATTTGTTTCCCATCCAGTTGTGAATGTGGACAGTCTGGTTTTCATCATTGTGGATTCTGCTCAAGGGGCAGCTGCTTTGCGCCCCACACCAATGACTGGGCCAACTGCCCCTTTTGCCCTGCATTAAAGATGGTCCCGATTGTGTTTTTGGAGTAAGGAGCAGTTGTCCATGGCAATCAATCAGCTTCTCTCTTCAGTTTGTTTAGTTAAGATTTAAAAATGAAACAGAGACACTGATTGGTTGCCATGCACAGCTGTGCCATTATCTGCTCCAGTTTTGATAAATCCCCCTCAATGTGTTTCCCTGAAATATTGAAAAAGGTTGTATACCATCCATTGACTAGAATCTATATAAACGTGTTTGAGAATTTCCAACACCTGGAGGATTCGGGAGAGTTGATACCAGGGGGGGAATCATTCAAATACTTTTCAGCTAACGCCAGCCAGGAGATGGCGTTTCTTTCGAGCCATTAACTAGATTATAATATCTGTGAACTTCTTTTACATATATAAAATGTTGTTGTCACTGCACTTGAATGTCTGTCTATGAAATACAGGTCTGCTTGACTTCTATTACACACCACTGCTACTGAACACTAATGGCAAATATGGCACCTTTAGTGACTAATGTTCTCTCTTTTCAGGTACAGGTTGTCGGTTTACACACTCGGATACATCTCATGCTACATTAGCCAGTGTTGTACCAGTATTTTCTGTGGTAAGCTAAAACCCGTTCTATGCTTCTTAGAGTCATTGTAGCCACCAGCTGATCACACCAAAACGTGATGGTGCTGAAATGGATCAGCATGAAGGTCTTTTACGCAGTAACTTGTGATATACATACGTGGTCCTCCCCATGTGGTGCTTATTTACAATCTGCTGGTTGTTTTCCAGAGATGAAATATACACGGTAACCTTGCCCATCCCCAGGCCGATTAAAGCAGTGATTCTCAAGCTGTGTAACCTCAGGACCCACATTTTTCTTGGTCATTAAGTCATGACCCAAGTTGCACCACACTGGAACGCATGGCATTGCGGTACCGCATGTTCCGGGACGGGCAGTCGAACCGTGAGTGGGTGGTGCTTTTGGGTTGCCATTCAAATGAATGGCAACATACCTCCTGCACCAGGACACACGGTAGGTGCAGTTGCGTGATAAAGTGCGTTCATTTCATGGGACTGTGTGATTAATGCACGAGTGTGAATGGGCCCTCAAAAACACTGCAGACACAATCTCACACACTCAGACATTCTCATTCACACATACACACTCCAAAAAACTTTTTTTTTTTTTAAGGTCCACCCAGTCTACCGTACATGGACTGGAGTGGATCCTCAGGCTGTGGTCCAGTGTGGGCAGCTGTGCTGTGATGGAGCTCCATCCATATGTACATTGCTTGTACAGCTCCCGTGCACATCCTGTAGAGGTGGCGGGAGCCAGAATGTGACGTCTCTCCAGTCCAGGCCCCTCAACAGGACACGGAAAGCTGTAAGCAATGCACATATGGATGGAGTTCCCTTGCACCCATACCCCAAGCCAAGCCCACCTCAAGCTGACACTCGGCGCTGGGCAGCATATTATGAATGGACAACTGAATACCTGACAGTGCTGCACTGGGGGGAAACTGATGAGTCCCTCACCTAGTGCAGTGGAACACATGACCCACCAGTTGGCAACCTCAGAATTAAAGCAATCATTCCTCCTTTTACTGAAACATCACAAAAGTCGCAGATATCAAGTCATTCAACAGTCATTTGTTTGCACAAATGTTTTTGCTATCACTTACATTTAATATGGTCCCGCTTCCTGGGTCTTCTTAGGCCCTGGTGATGTAGCCAGGGCTTTTACGACTTTCATTATGCATGTTTTTGCTGTTCTTGGTTATACGTTGACCTTGGCACTAGCCATGGCAATGTGTGTGAACAATGTCAGCACCGGATCTCGTACTGTGCATGGGTGATACCCTGTTTCCCCGAAAATAAGACCTACCCCTAAAATAAGACCTAGTACTATTTTTGTGAATTGCTAAAATATAAGACCTACCCCGAAAATAAGACCTGGTTGTGACCATTCCCAGGGCCGGTGGTGGCATAAGGGGGAACTTGAAGAGCCGTCGGAGAGAATCAGCGGTGCCAACGAAGCCAGCGCTAGAGGAAGCGAGGTGGCACCGGAGGGAGCAGAGCCGCATAAGCCGATGCCTCCTCAATAGAGCCGGCTCCTGTCACAGGCGGAGTGATACCAAATGCACTCCGCCTGTGAGGAATCCATAGTGAAAGCACGCTTCGCTCATTCTGACCAGCGATTGGTTACCAAATTGCTCTTGGAAAGGTACGACACCCCTGATTACCCTAATCTTAACTTTGCCCCTCACTCCTGTCTTGTAAGTCTTCTACCGTTAATAAGTGTGGATTGTTGTACATTAAAAAGAATTAAGACCTACCCCAAAAATAAGAGCTAGTGTGTTTTTTGGAGCCAAAAAAAATATAAGACAGTGTCTTATTTTCGGGGAAACACGGTATCTGATTCTGATGTCAAGAGTGGGCTGGCAGGAAAAAAGCCAGCCACCAATTAAGTCTCTGAGGCAGCATGGGTTGGAAGGAGGATGAGAAGAGGCACATTAGCATGCAGCTATATACAGTAGAGATAAATGTGGAAATGTACTATCATTAAATGTGTTTATAAAAGCAAGTGAAGCTTTCAAGCACCCATTGCAACTATACAGTAGTTGTAATAGCCACCTCAGGCTGTCATAGGTGTTCTTTATGGCACAGGATTATTTTAAAGGAGAACTATGAGGTGAGTGATTTTCACTCACCTCATAGTTTTAGCCGACCTGTGACAATGAGACTGTCACAGGTCGGCTCAGTAGATCGGGAAGTGAGCGAACATACCGGCGTTTGCTCCCCTCTCGATCCTGTCACGGCTCTCTGCAGTGACAGGGGAGGGGCTGGATTGCCCGCTCCGATCCGCCAGCACTGACTGGCGGAACGGACGGGTTGAGGGGGCGGGTACAGCTGGCTCTGCCTTTATATAGGCAGAGCCAGCTGTCAGTCACGCAGCTGGGCGGATCCCGGCACAATTGTCGGGATCCGCTTCAGCTGCGGCGTCTCTGTATACCGCGAGCAGTGCTCGCGGTAAACTGCGGCGTCTCAGTATACCGTGAGCTACAGCTCGCAGTATACTGAGCCTAGGGCGACGGGAGGGCGCTAGTTTGTGTCCTCCCGTTACCCTAAGGAGAACTATGGGGAAAAGACTTAACCCCATAGTTCTCCTTTTAAAGCCTTTTGAATAATCGTCCTGCAAGTTGGTCTCAAGCCATCAACGTTCTGTGGATTAAGCTGAAGCATCCAAAGTACCCCTGTCACTGGCAGAGAAGGATAATGGTTCGATAGGAAGCTCCTGTGATGACAGGTGCATATTGCCCTGACCATAGTAATTGGGTATATAGTGCTACTCGTATACGGATAGTCTGATTAGGACCCCATAGCACATGAAATATCTTTCCCTGGCTTCAGTACTGACCCAGAACCACCATGTGGATTAGATAGTCAGCGTTCCTTATATGAATATTTTTTTCCCCAAAGTATTGAAAACATTGGATCAGCATGACAGTCAGGAAACTGAACAGCCTGCCTAATTCTCCAGTACAGGTTTCCTTTAAAGTGTATGCAAAGTAAAAACCTTTCTTTTTTTTTAAATGAGTATGGGATTGTTGAAGAAAAACTCCAGCTAAAAATGTTTTTAGTGCGGCTACCCCTGCACTGGAAGGGTTAAGTGCGCATTTTTCCTTAGGGTCAAAAACAAAGTTATACTCACCTGATCCTCTGAGCCGACTAGCTGTGACAGCGCTCCCTCTTGCCTGTCTGCTCCTACGCTGCAGTGATGGTATGTCCCTCAACTTCCTCATACACAGTCTATAGAACGCAATGACTGATGACGACTTAGACCACTGTAGCGGAGGGGGAGAGAGGCTCCAAGGACCAGTCTAAGAGCAGGGTGGCTTGGAGGATCAGGTGAGTATGACTTTTTTTTTATTTTTGACCCTAGGCAAAAACGAGTGCTTAGCCCTTGCAATGCGGGGATAGCCCCACTGCAAGGGTTAATACAATTTTTACCTGGAGTTGTTCTTTAAGACACACTGTCAGGGGTTTTGGGTTCTTTTTTTCTTACTGTCCTACCAGGAATTGTTTAGACGTCTCTGAAAAGCAAGAGGAAATACCCTCTTTAACAGTTGTCAGGTATGCCCATTGAAGGTTTTCCCCTCACTTCCTGTTTCGATGACCACTCAGAAATGTTAGATTTCCTATCCATTTCTGTCTGTACTCGAGACATCGGTCATTAGGACCAAGAGTGAGAGGAATCTCTCCCCAAAGGGTACACGCACAGCAGTATAGAACAGTCGGAGGTCCTAAGCATTTAATATTCTGTACAAAATTATGAATACTGGAGCAAACAAAATCTGGAGTAGAATTGCACTGCAACCAATCAGCTTCTCTGTCTCATTTTCAAATCTTATCTGGGCAAACTGAAGAGAGATGCTGAGTGGTTGCCATGGGCAACTGCTCCCAGATTTTGTCTGCTCCAGTTTTGATAAATTCCCCTCCATGTCTCTTGCCACTTATATATAGTTCTTGAAGAACAAATCAATGTGTTCTTGTAATAATCAACTGGCATAATGTCTGTATATATTTTTAGATGATTTATAATTTAGATTTTCTTTTGATTTTTTTTATTTTTTAATCTATTTTTAGATGAAATTTGACAAGGATGGAAACATATTGTCATTTGGTAAGTACCAACGTATCATTTATTGTAACCGTTGTTGTTTAGAGGTTTCTTTTATAAGGCTGCAATGTTTTTAATATACCATTTCATTTCTAGAAAGTAGCTACATTTTATTTACACTTCCTGTTTTGTTTTTATAGAGAGAAAAAAGACCGAGTTATACCAAGAGCTGGGTTTACAGGCTCGGGATTTAAGATTCCAGCATCTTGTGAGCATCAACTCTAGAAACAACAAGATCATTTTAAGAATGGAGGTACTGCATTACTAAACCGAAAATGTATTTCAGCCATTTGTAATCAGTTTTCATATATTCGTCTATATTTCCAATGCGGGTCATTTCACAAAAACATGAGAGAAACAATGACATTAAAAAAGCATTATGGCCAAGCCTTTTTGGGCTCTAGTTCTCTTTTGGGTCACAGGAGGACATTTACTAATATACTCCTGTGACCCAAAGCACAGCTTATACCGGGCTATTGCCTACTATATGCTGACAATGCAGAGCTGCGCTGCAGCCGGGAAAGATCCCAACAATATTGTCGGGATCTACTCCGCTACCTGATTGACAGCTGGATCAGTTTCTCTAGAGCAGCAGGTAGGTTTTTTTTTATAAGATGTGCCATTGTTAGCACCATGTGGACATCCTCACTGTTTAACACCATAGAAGGGGGGCACCAAAGGACTACTTTTTTTTTTTTCCTCTTTGAAATGTTGGACACTGAGAGGGAAAACAGTTCTTAGATGTGTAATTAAAGTGTGTTTAGCTGTTTTCCTTGAGTTTCACTTTAAGAATCCATGTTGTTAAAGTATACCCTGTTTCCCCGGAAATAAGACCTAGTACTATTTTTGCGAATTGCTAAAATATAAGATCTACCCCGAAAATAAGACCTGGTTGTGACCATTCCCAAGGCCGGTTGTGGCATAAGGGGGAACTTGAAGAGAGGCGGGAGAGAATCACAGTGCCAACGAAGCCAGCGCTAGAGGAAGCAAGGCGGTGGCGCAGGGAGCAGAGCCACACAAGCCGATGCTTCCTCTATAGCGCCGGCTCCTGCCACAGGCGGAGTGATACCAAATGCACTCCGCCTGTAAGGAATCGATAGCATAAGTGCGCTTTGCTCATTCTGGTTACCACCTTGCTCTTGGAAAGGTACGGCACCCCTGATTGCCTTGATCACCCTATTCTTAACTTTGCCATTTTGGATTATTTAATTTGGATTTGCATAAACTTTGGTAGAAGTAACAAATGTATTTTTCTCTTAAAGTGACATTAAAGTCAAAAATATTTTTCCCTCCACCCAATGTTAATGAAAGCACTTGCCTTAAATGATGTCTCTTAATCCGATCATCTTCTTCTTTCCTGTCCTTTTCATCTGTCCCTCCAGCGCTGTGGCGGCTCTCCCATCCAGCGCTGACCCTTCTGAGCTTGCTTCCTGTCCCACGGTGCCTGTATGTGGGTGCACGCGTCCATATATTTACCTTGTGTCTCTCCTCGTCTCCCGGCCGAAAATCTGAACTGCGCATGCGCCGCCCCAAAATGCTTTGCGGCCGCCCGAGAATTTTCACATTTTTGGACGGGAGCGTGCGGCGAAGACAGGGGTAAGTTTAAACCGATTTTTAAAAAAAATGTTTTTGCATATATCTACTGCTTGCTAGCAGTAGATATATGCAAAAAAACCACGGAGGGTTTAATAACCCTTTAACTTGTATTTTCAAATGTTATAAATAGAGCTGTTGTGATTCTTTTTTTCTTCTTGCAGTTCTTAAAAGCTGTCATAACCCCAGAATACCTTCTGATACTGGATTATAGGAACCTTCACCTAGAGCAGTGGTTTCTTCGGGAACTCGCTCCTCAGCTGGCAGGGGAAGGGCAGCTGGTGACATACGCCTTACCCTTTGAGTTTAGAGCCCTGGAGGCAATACTGCAACACAGGGTGAGTTGAGACAATATGAATTGCATTCCTTTTTATGACTGTATTCACTTTTCTACCAGATGTGTGTTGTATCGTAGATTCCTACACTGCTGCGTCAAAGTCATTGGATACCTGTGATCAATAGACACTCATCCAGTAAAGGGAAGGTGACCGTGGAGGTCCTCACATCAGTAGACTGACATTGCATTTTTATACACTTTGTTGTGCTGATGTGGGGCCCTGCACTGACAAAAGGTTTGCCATGATGAAAGCTCCATTCATCATAGAGGTACACTGACCGCCTAGGACAGCCATCTTGAAGGTGTAGAGGCAAAAACAGTTTTGTGCACTTAAAGTAGTGTTAAATTCTCAAACCTTTTGAAATAATCCAGATCAGACAAATACACGTTGTTGAGAAAAGTATTTTTTTTTACATTTTTGCCCATGCAATTCTAGTCATCATGTTTCTGAACAGCTCCAACTCTCTCAGTGCCCCTTTACTTGTCTGTAGGGAGGCTTTCTGCTTCACTAATTTAAGAAATCGTCTACTGTTGTGCCATCCCTTTGTTAGCATGGTGTGCCATAACCTTTTATCTTTCTCTGAACTGTTTCTCCTTATTTGACTCCAACTAATGTCGGTCTTGTCATTCTTTAGGCTGGCAGTCTCCAAGAGAGACTTCAGTATCTGCAACCCCATATTCTGGAAACTTTGGAAGCGTTGGTGGACCCTAAACAGATGTCAGTAGACAGAAGTAAATTGCATGTAATGCTCCAGAGTGGAAAGAGGTAACGTCTTGTCACTGTAAACAAATGGATTGTCTTCTTTTCGATGTCGGCTTTGGATTATAAAAAAAAGTTAATATTTTTTTTTTTTTCAGTTTGTCAGAGTTGGAAACCGATATCAAAGTTTTTAAAGAGGCAATTTTAGAAATCTTGAATGAAGATGAACTTATTGAAGAGCTGTGTTTGACCAAGCAGGCTAGTTTTCAGTCCCCGTATGTATTGTGATACAAACCTAACTTTTATTTTTTTTTCTTTTAGTGCATAAGTTTGTGTTTTTTTTTGTTTATTTCCAAATGGTGGAGAGTTTAATTGTCCAATGGTTTCTCATTTTTCTCAGGGACTCAGAAAGTGACACGTGTCTCAGGGCTTGTTCACACCCTGTCAACACCCTGTCCAGACAATAACAGGTTTTTTTCCGCACATGAAATTCATCCCAATGTATTCCTATGGGTATTCTGGGCTCTGTTCACACAAGTGCAGTCCATTCCAGGGAACAAAAATGCTGCACTGTTTTTTTTTATTCTTCTGGTCTGGAACGCACCAAAAACACATGCAAACGCACTGGACTGCATCTGAAAGCCCATTTTAAGCTTAAAAAAAAAAAATGCGCTAAAAAATTGCTGCACCGTTTTTGCAGATCTGATCCAGATGTTGTCTGGACATGGTGTGAACAAGCCCTAAAGCTGATCGTATACTGTAATATTTTCTTTGTTCAACCTGCGGGCTGAACAAAGAAAATATCACATTCCTCCCAACGCTTACGAGCATTGTTTAAGGAATCTCTCACGGTCTTCATTGTATTCTGACAGCGGCTACTATGAGAATACCCGAGCAGAGGCTGCAGCTCATTGGCTGCCTGCTCTGTTCGATTGAAGAAAGCCCCACAACCAGCAGCATATACTTGCATTTCTTTTGTTCACCTGCTGCTCTGTTTCACACCAGGAGTCAAAGGAATTTTATTAAAAGATATTTATTTTTATATTTCTAAATGCTGGTATATTTAGTAGGGATGCACCGATAGTGATTTTTCGGTATGGCGTACGAGTACCGATATTTATAATTCGGTACTGGCAGATACGGGTACTTCCAGTAGCATAAAGCCGGCTTCCTGGACATTCAGGAAGCCAGGCGGCATGTCATTACCCACCGCTCGGCTTCTTTATTGCCAGGGAAGCCGACTCCATTCTGTTTGGCCGTCTCTATGCTGATTGGCCGAGAAGCTGGCTTCCCAGCCAATCGGCATCGAGGCTGGCCAAACAGATCTGATAATATGGTGACCCAACCCCCAACCTGCAGGCACCTTATTCCCCTCACATAGATGCTTAGCAGCAGTCATTACCGTACCAGTCCCTCGGCCAGCTGGGCAGACACCACTCTCCGGGATCTGCCCACTTCTCCTGTACGTACAGCGCCCACGTGATCGGCCCTCAGCCTGCTACTGCGCATGTGCAGACTGCCCAGCGCTCTCATTCAGAAATCCTGTGCATGCGCAGTAGCAGGCTGAGGGCCGATTACATGGGCACTGTGCACAGGAGATGTGGGCAGATCGCGGAGACTTGGAGAGCGGTGTCTGCCCAGCTGGCCGAGGGACTCGTACAGTAATAACTGCTGCTAAGGATCGATGTGAGGGGAATGATTTTTCTGCAGGGTGGAGGTCGTGTCGCCATATTATCAGATTTGTTTGCCTGGCTCGACACTGATTGGCTGGGAAGCCAGCTTCCCGTCTAATCAGCATTGAGCCGGCCAAACAGCATGGAGCCAGCTTCCTGGCTCTGTTCCCTCGCGTCACTGCCGGTCAGATGAAATCTCCCTCTAACCGGAAGTTCCAGTATCGGGAAAGGTATCCGAGCATTTGGGCGAGTACCCGTACTCGCCCAAATACTCGGTATCGTTACCAATACTAGTATCAGTGCATTCCTTAGTTATTAGATTTGGAAGGAGGTTGCACTCTCCTGGATCCCACTTTATTCACGCGACATTTGACAATTTTGCTTTTTCATAATAAACCTTTTTCCTTAAGTTTGTCTAATATTTTTTTTCTTATGGAAATTGCAAAGTATTTATCAGTAAATCTATATTCAGTATTTTGTTAATCCTTTTTAATATGCCAGCTCGTAAACACTGCATTTCATTGCTGAAGTTTTAGTTTAAGTGATCGTGTGCATTAATTACATTTACACGACGAGTGCTAATGATTTTGAATATAAATGAGACTCTCTCTTCCCAACCGGCTTAATGTTTTCTGTATGTAAATATAATTGTTTTATGTCAGATACGAGAAATAGATTTTAGTTTAGTTTACTCTGAATTGATGGACTATTTTGTGCTTTAGATATTACTGTGTTTTTAATGAATGTGTTTAATGTTTATTTGTGAAGATGAAATGATTTTTTAAACTGTTTAATTACATTTTTGCTTTTTCATTTACTGTTTGCCAAGACAAATGTACCCATTTATAGTTCTCTTGGGTAATGTACATACTGTTATATTAAATTGATTTAGAGATGGTAATGCTGAGCATTTATTAGGTTCTGGTTTTTTTTCAGACTACTAAATGCCAAAAGTGATTATTTGTCTTATTTGTGAATGGAGAGGTGATGTGATGGAAAAAGCCTAGCAGAGGCTGCTAGTATCACTAATTTTGTGGTGCTACAATAGCAGTTGGAACAGGTTTTCTAACTTTCCCTTGAAAACACTAGTAAGCATAAGAATATTACATGTAGGAGGAAACTGCCAGACTTTGCGATTCTTAAAGTGACACCAAACTCAGGGGTTAAATCTTAAAAATACATTCCAGTACCTTTTAACTATTAACAATACTGTATCTTATTTGTGTATCACTCAGCTGCATATCCTCAATTCATCTCTGAATTGGTGCTGACACTGTCCTTCCTTCTGGAGGGTGGCTAGTATTGTTCCCCATGGTCCCTGTGTGAGTTGTAAAGTAGCCACCACTCCAAGCTCACTCCTGTGATGGACTACAATCTCAATACAAATGAGTAAACTAAACGTGAGATTGTAGTCTATCACAGGAGTGAGCTTGGTGCGGTGGCTACTTTACAACACACAGGGACCATGGGGAACAAAAGTAGCAACCCTCCAGAAGGAAGGACAGTGTCAGCATGAATTCAGAGATGATTTGAGGATCTACAGCGAGTGATACACAAATAAGGTACATTTGTGTTAATAGTTGAGGTACTTGCATGCATTTTTAAGATTAGTGACACTTTAACTCATGTCTGTTGTAGCTTAAAGTAGATGTTAGCTGTAACTGAATGTCATTTAGTTTGCTAAAGCAATACAAATAATTGGTGTGTTTTTCCTATTAAATACTGTGTTCAACTTTGTTGCATCTCAGTGCTGCTGACCTCCTCCAGCCTTTTTCAGCCAATTCCTGCCTAAATGAACTTTCTCCAGCATCAGCAGAACATCATTTGCTGCTGATAGGTTTAATGATATTGGCAACAGTGGACCATGCCTGCGCAATATGTGTCAGCACTTGTATTCTGTCAGCACAATTAGGGGACAGTTGCCGTCTGTCCCCAACATTTTAAAGCCTATATTAGATTTTAGTGATTTGGAATTGGATTAGATCTGCATTTAAACATTTTGGTGGAGCACTTCTTAAGTGAAGTGTGAAAGGAAAAATAAATAAGCCTTGCTTAATTTTTTAAATAAACAAATGCTGAATTACTCCTGTTGTTGTTTTCATAGATTGAAAAGTTTTCTTCACTCGGTTTTGCTGTGTCTTTGAGAAATTGCAAAACTGAACTCTCCTGCCCTCGCTGGTGCTGACATTACCCAGTCCTCTTTTGGGTTTAAAATCTCTGGCCATCTTGATTGGCATGGCCAGAATTACGTCATTCCCAAGCTTGAGCACAGAAATGTGTTCATTCTGGCAATGAGGTGTGCCAGGAATGTATATTAAGCTGCTCATGTGCAACTCCGTGTACATTCTCAAGCAGATTGCGCACAGGCAGGTATGTTTAATAGATATAGATATATATATATATAGATAGTGTATGTTTTTTATATATAGATATATATATACTTCGCTTTAGTACAGCCCTGTAATGGAATTTCCTGCTTTATATGATGTCAGAAATTTCCCTCCTCCTCAGAGTGTAGTTAATTCATGGGTGACTTATAGTCTTTTATAATTGGTGATTTTCTTTTTTCAGTGTAGAAGGTAGTTCCAGGATTGATCATGCTGAAGAGATGGAACTGCTTCTAGAGAATTACTACAGGCAAGCAGAGGACCTGGCTAATGTGGCCAGAGAACTACGTGTCCTAATCGATGACTCTGAAAGTGTCATTTTCCTTAACCTGGACAGGTTGGTTTCTATATAACTTTACTGTCTGCATCATGTAAATGTTTTGAATGTCCTACAGTATTGTTTCCGAGTTTGCAGTTATACTTTGACATACCACCAGAGACGGTAGAATTGCCTACCAGCCAAGTCGTTCCTGGATCCTTCTGCTAGCTCATGTGAGAATGCAGAATGGCAGATCCATCCCATGCTGAATGCCTCCACCTATACTACATTTTTTTTTTGCCTTCATCCCACCAGGTTGTGGACTCTGGAACACTGCTGGTTACAATTCCAGAGGCCCTGTAAGGCCAGACAAGTCAGAAGTAGACCAAGACTATATTCAGTGTTCCCCATAAGACCTTGCCTGTATATAACTAATGGGCCGATAAGCAACATTTGCAAGTGCCTTCCACTTACTTCCTATAACTAAAATAATATTTCCTTCTCACATGGGTCAGTGGCAATAAACACTTAATTCATGCTGGGACCTTTTTGCCCTTCCAAGTAAAGGCTAATGCTTGAAGCCCTTGATATGGCTGATATTGCTAATATGTAAAGGACCTCCATTACTGTTTTGGTTAATGAGGACCTTCAGTCTTTTATTAGCTTGGATTCAGCTTCTGAATAATTATAGCCTGCCCTTAAAGTGGAGCTGAACTCAAGAAGTGAAAATTTGCTACGTTATAGGGCACACATAGAAATATTAATTGTGCCTAATAAGCGCCCTCAAATATTTTCCCTTTTTTTTTGGTCTGGGATTCCTCCTAAAAAATAACAGTTAATTCCCGATATGTGAATGTCCCTGGGCACTCCTGTGCATCCAGACAAATAGCTGTGTTTCTGCTGTGTGAAAGGCACTGCTATTTTGTGACCGCTAGTTTCACGAGATTTAAAGTGAGATTTGGTGATATCACTACTGTGCTTGCTGGAGAGAAAGCTGTACCTGAGGACCTACAGTGCAACATTCTCCTTCTTCTTCTTTATTCTTTTTGTGGTTTTGTATGTCCTCCACATGTCCTGATAGTTGATCATCACCTCACCAGGCATCGAGGGGCACCTTGAACCTGAGGAAGCAATTCACTGCTTCTCTACCAAGATGGCCAACGCCACACAGAGACGGTGCAGAACAAGGCATGAACAGCCGGTAATGGGGGAAATGATCAGCTGCAGGGGGCCCACAGGCAATGCTAGTGTTTTGTCCTCTGCCTGCAATTTGGTTTCTTTATTAGTGACACTGCTTTTACAATTCAGGTCGGGTGGGGATTCCCAACATTATACTGCAATGACAATGCAAGATATGTGTAAACTGAGCATAGACTATACTTTTTTTAAATGATTTATCTGTTTCAATTCTCACATGTGTTGTCATGGAGTATAGTGGGAAAAACTAATATTAGTCCTAATCCTTTTCCATTTACCATTCATGACAATACATAGTATTCCCACCCTAACCTCATCTTTAAAGTTCTAGCATCGTTTTCTGGAAAACATTGAAAAGTGTACTAGAAGGGTGGGTCATTAACCTTGTTCCCACTCCTGTCCCTTTGCCTACTCTTCTAATTGGAAATGTTTTTCCCTGTACAAGTAATTTCAATGCCTGTTTGTTTTCCAGCCACCGAAATGTGATGATGAGGCTGAACTTACAACTTACAATGGGTACTTTCTCCATCTCTCTGTTTGGTCTTATTGGAGTTGCCTTTGGCATGAATTTGGAATCTACCTTTGAAGATGTAAGTACAGAAATGCATATCATTTATAAATGGAAAAAATAAATATATACACATATGGTAATGGATAGAAACATATACACATGGATTATGGGGAAAAAATGGCATAATCTAGGCTTGTACAGGTTCCTTAACAACCTCAACACCAGGACAAAAAGTACTGTGACACTACTATGCAGAAGATGCCTTTCTCATCCAATTGCACTTTTGATTATAAAAGAAAACCGAATACAATTGCAGCCTTAGCCCCCTCCCCCCGCTTTCTTCCAGATAGTTCTGAAGTCCAAAAACATTTCCACCACATTCCTGGTAACGGGAGGACGCTAGTTGGTGTCCTCCCGTTACCCCAAGGAGAACTATGGGGAAAAACACTGACCCCATAGTTCTCCTCCTTTTAAGTGCAGCTAAGTGTGTCAGTGGTTTCCCATTCTTATAACCAAGAATTGGTCCATTGACCAAGTGTTGTCTGAGCTCATGCTATTAGTACAGCATATACTATTGGCAAGTCTTTTATCTTGCCACTGAACCACTGCTGTGTGCTTGCTCAGATTTTTTGTGTCCTGTGTTTTCCTTGTTGTGCATTTACTTTTTTTTCTGTTTCTTTTCTTAGGTTCCTCAGATATTTTGGTTTGTTACCGGACTAATGTTCCTAGGAAGTGGTCTAATATGGAGGCGTTTACTTTCTTTTCTTGGAAGACATTTAGAACCATCAAAGGCTCCATTGGTATGTTATATATATTGGTAAAGAAAAAACAAAAATCTTCTAACAATTTGTTTTTAGAGACAGTGAGATGTACTACATCCACCATTCATTCTGGAAAGAACAGTCAAACCAGGAGAAACCACACTGAAATATTCAGCGTGTTACTGTTTCTGCGTTGCATGCACTTTCAAGTAAATTGATGTGTTTTTAGTAGGGCTGCGGAAATTACCAATTAATCGTTAATTTTTTTTGATCGATCAAAATTATTTTGATCGGAACTCACCTTTCCGCCGGCTTCCGGGAGTTTCTCGGAGATCCGGTGACGTCACGGACATCGACGTCACCGGACTCCTCCCCCCTTCCCAAAATTTCCCTGAAGCCCCCCCAACAGTATAAAAATAGTTAAAACATTTCTAAAACATTGAAAATGTGTGCATGTTCCTGCAACCTAGAAAAGGGGTCAACTAACCACACCTCAAATGCATTTTAAAAAGCAGTTTTGGAACATTTATATTATGGTATTTTCACTTTAGATATGAAGGGTTATAAATGGACTTTACTGATGTATACTAATTTGTGCTTTTCTGTTTTACCTAGATCCTTAAGAGAACATTTCCTTTCAATGGAAGAGTAGATTCACCAAACAACCATAAGGTGTAATTGTTCATGTCCCATGGACTACCAAGCAGAATGACTGTTACAGTAGTATATCTTTAATACCAAACAGAAAGCAGCACACTCAGGGCTGTGCTGGCCATAAGGACATTTTAATCGTGATTGGTGGAGGAGCTTCCTCTTCTGGGTCTGTGCCCCCTCCTGAGTAAACGACCACTTGGAAAAATGCAGTTTATGTGGACTTCATTCACTTGCACTTTATACCATTTAGGGAGTAAATATAAAATGTATCTTTTTTATGTTCTAAGACTTGTGGTAGAGTAATTGTAATACTAATATTAATCATCTTCCTCCTGAACAGAGACATACATGGACTTCCTGTATTTCATGTCTAGTCATATAGAAACTCCTACTGTATAGTGTACATGTTAGATTTTCTACTGCACTGCCATGGCAGTGGTACTTGAACTAATCCTAGGGGCTCAGGAAAGCACATGGTTGTGCCTTATAATTGTATTTATAGGTCTTCGCTAAAGTTTATAGGTTCCCTAATAAATCATAATACAGTGCATACTCTTCACTGATCCTTGTAGTAACATAGTGAAGCCTGCCAGCCAACTATTTTCCATCTGCAGGTGAAATCTGGCAACACATCTTATTATTGAGCTACTGTGATGCTTTATAAGAGCCACTGTTGGTTAATTATAAGTCCATCAACCAGCTAAAACATCAGTAGGCAATGAACCCACATTACCAACTGAAGGGAGTTGTGTACTCCTCCATGTAATAGGTTCAAAAGATATTGGATGACAGACAATTTTTTATCAGGGGCATTACCATGCATTTAGCTGTATTTTCCAAAGTAGGCAGAATGCAAGGACAAAGCAAAATATGTTTTCTATAGCACCAGCTACAGGCTGCATTGATAAAAAGTACTGAATGCTGAAAGTTTGATGTGTTAGCCTGTGTTTTGCCATTTACGACAATAAGGTCTGATGTGAAGCCTGTTAGGCATAGGTTTTTAAATAACTGTCGGGTTCCTTTTAAAGGTTGGTTGCATTATTGTGACCAGACCATAGTTTGGTGTTTTGCTTGTACTTTACTGTACTGCTTGCTACTCTAGGTGAGTATATCATATGATTCTTAATTTTTTTTTATTCACTTTTGGGTCACAGGAGTACATTTACTAATGTACTCCTGTGACCCAGACTTGGCATATAATGGACTACTGACAGTGCAGAGCTGTGTTGCAGCTGGGAAGGATCCCGACAATATTGTCAGGACCCACCAAGCAGCCTGATTTGACAGCCTCTCTAGAGCCAAAGCCAGCCATGCCCGCCCCCTTCTCTGTCTGTTCCTCCAATGAGTGCTGGAGGAATAGAGGGAGGAGGAGGGGAATCCCTGCAGGGAGAAGCCGTCAGTTGAGCGATCAGTGGTTTGTGATCGCTCTGTTCTTTGGCTATTGAGCTGGCATGTGACAGCTGCAATGTCAGCCGGCTCAAAGTATTGGAAAGAGTACATTTTACTCTCCCAATGGTTCTCTTTTTTAAAAGAAATAGGGGTTAAAAAAGGTTAACGGGCACACATCTTATGTGCTATGTTTCCTTTTAAAGTAGACCTGTCATCGAATTCATACATTCACATAAATCATTCACATAAATCAATAGGGCATATGTCTGCATTAGCAAATATCTTTTTGAGTAAAAAAAAAAGTTCTTGCCATGAATAAAGAAACCTTGCTCTAAACACTTTCATGTTTCTCTCAGCCTAGTGAAAAATGATATAGTCTCTGGCTACCGAGTGCATTGTGTTTTGTTTCGTATCATTAGAAACCGCAAAGTCTATAGTTCTCAAGCAGATAGACCTTGTCCATAACCAGAATGCCAACAGAGAACAGAACCTGCTTATGGACTGGGCACATATGGCTACTTCCATGCACATATAGAATTACATTCTAAACCTAAAACATGATCTCTAATGTCAACACTGTTGTAAATAACATTTAACTGATCCCCTTTTACATATAGATTCAAAAGATCTCCTGAACTGTAACTCCAGCCACAACTTCTTTAAGTTTTGGATCAAATAGGGAACATTTAGTATATTTGTTGAGTTTTTTATTAGAGATGCACCGATACTAGTATCTGTGCCGATAAAGAGTATTTGGGGCGAGTACTCGCACTCGTCCAAATGCTCCAATACTAACCTCCCTATTAGATTTCCTCTGACTGGCAGTACCGCGAGGGAACATGGAGCGCGCTTCCTGGCCAGTCAGGAAGCCGGGCAGCAGGTAATGACTCGCCGCCTGGCTTCCTGATTGGGCGGGAAGCCGGCTACATGTTGTATAGCTGGCTCAATGCTAATTGGCCGGGAAGCCTCCTGCCTTCCTGATTGGCCGGGAAGCCGGCTCCATGCTGGCGGAAGTATCATTACTCAGTATTGGTGAGTACCGAAAGATAAATATCGGTACTCGATACCCAAATATTTTTATCGGTGCATCCCTAGTTTTTATTGCTCCCTGTTTGTCCATACGGTGGATTTCCTGTCTTCAGAGATAAACCAGAAAGTAAGTGTAATCTTTCCAACAACGGGATGAAATCTTGCCCCTCTCCCACTGTTCTCTTGTCAACCGTGACCTTTTTATATTTCCTTTTACTTTCTCTATAGGTGACCACACTGCCCCACTCCCCAAAACGAAAGAAATTATTGACTCGAGTTATTTTATGCAGGTCTTTCAGGTTGCTCTGAATTTTTCAAAATAAGTCCTTTAAAATGTTATGGATTCAAGGTATATGATCTATGGAGTACGCATTGAAGTTCATAAAGCAAACCCTCTCGCTCTTCATGAGTTAGTGTTTATATCTAAAGACAAGCCAACAGATCATGTGACCATTCAATGGTCATAGGTTTCACCTTTTTAAAGGTTGTCAAAACGCGTGTCTTCATAAGGCAGTTTCCCTCCTGGCACCCCGAAGACAATTAGAAGTTGTCAGCCCATTGAACCCATCAGTGTAACACAGAATAGATTTACACCGTTGACATATTTAGTCATTCTCAACAAAACAAGGAAAATCATGCATGTAAAAAAATTATCGGTTGTGCCCATTACACCCAGTCCCATCTTTACCCCAATTCCATATGAGCCTCCCAGTTTTCTTCTGTACTAAATCTATAAATCTCCGACTTTTCTCTCCTAGTTTTAGCAACCTGCTTTGCATACCTCCCAATTTATGATTTTGCTGTGTAATACATCTCCTTCGTAAATGTTTTAGTGTACAGTGTTTTATTCCCATTTTCAATTTATACTGTGTGGTTATGAGAAGTTGTAAATTAAATATTTATTTCTATAATTACACACATGGAATTGTCATTTATTGTTTAATGATCCATGCAAACATTTCTGTCTCGAGCACACCTAGGTATAATTTAATATTTTGCTATGCCTGACTCTTTTACAGCTAAACCTCCTTGTAGTGAGCACAAACAAAAACTGGAGGCAGATTTCAGAGCTGGGGATGAGAATATGGTAGAAGTATTGACCATTAGCAATTCAGAATAAAGCAGTTATTCTCTAAGCTGCAGCTGGAATTAGGTTGCTATGGGCAGTGCAGACACCTTTCCTCCATTTATGATAAATTATAACCAAAGTACAGCTAGAGTGGCTTTGTAGACAGTTGTATACAACATGTTTTGTGTGTTGTTGTATCTACATTATTAATGGAGTTTGATTTAATTGACTGACAGCAATAAAGGATGGATCTTTTGTAAATGTCTAGTCCTAACTGGCCTAAAGCAGAACTCTTGCAGAGGTTTTGTGACACAGAATGTGTGGGGGAAAAGGTTTGGCATCTGTGGGCCCCCTTAATATTCCTGCCAGGGTCTGGTATGAATTGGGGGAGACGGGGGGACCCACACTGTTGTTGTGTTTTTTGTGGGGGGGTTTTTAATTGTTTAAATGGACAGTTAACCACTTTTGTGTATTCTATGACAACTGTCATATTCTTTGTTTACATTTGGAATGCGAGTCCAGTTGTTACAGAATAACACATAGTTCTCAGCTACTTTCTTTATTTACATTTTGTGCCAATATTCTGTTACTTTGTTGACATTCGGGATAGGAGTCCAGAATGTCATCAAAGAGGCAGATACGCCAGAGATTGGTAAATGACACACAGCGTTTTCGCTTCTTTGTTTAATTACGAATGGCTTTTGGATGTTTCTGAGTTTCATTATCAAACATTAAGATTCGTTATTTCTGTAATTCTGAAATTCGGGTGCATCCAAATGTCCGAATTTACAGAAATTCATACGAATGTCAATTCAGAACGAAACAAATCACACATGTCAAATACAAAGGTCTTTAAATAAGGAGTGAGAGGCCAACAGGATCTTAAAGATAATAGAAAGGGCAGAAACTTGCCCTTGATAGCACTGAGAGTCAAACACTGGTCCAGGGCCAGCTGTCTGAAGGAGAGGATTCATCCCACGGGCACCCCTGAGAAGCACGCCAAGTAAAGTATGCCTTTCATATCTGATGATAAACCTTGTGGAAAGTAGCCTTCCTAACTTTTAGAACAGTAGAATCAAAGTTTCAGAGATGGCCCTATCTCTCAAAATCAACCCATTGAAGGAGAACTATGAGGTGAGTGATTTACACTCATACTCATAGTTTTAGGCCGACCTGTGACAATGAAACTGTCACACGTTGGCTCTATTGATCGGGAGGTCAGCAAACTTACCGTCGCGCGCTCACTTATCGATCATCTTCCTGCAGAGAGTGGTGGCTGACGGGGATTCCCCTTCCCCTCTTCTATCCTCAAGCGCTGACTGTAGAAACGGCCGGAGGAGGGGGTGGGCACAGCTGGCTCTGCCTCTAGATTGACAGCGGGCTCTGCCTATTAGCCAGCTGGGTGTATCTCAACAGTATTGGTCAAGCAAAACAAACGACAAACGCACTCAACAATTTGTCACCAGTTATGCAGTGAGGTGCACACAAAATGGGCTTTGAACAGTAAAACAGTAGAAAGGTATCATGGCACACTCACAAACCAGCGTGTAAAACAACTTGTCTCACCACTAAGGATAACAGAAGTTTGGATACACGTCTTCTGCAGAGGATGTGAAAGCCGCACTGCCGCGCCAAGGCACCTCTTATAGTGCGGTCCTAACTCTAAACTATGAGAGTCTCCATCTTGGAGCACATGGGGGCAGAAGATTTCAAATTGGGTGCAGGTTTGTCAGGAGGACGACCAGCCTCCTTAAAAGCACAGAAACACACAAGGGATCCCGCACATCCCAATGGCAGCTGAGAAACCCCATGCGTCGCTGCACCAAATCGGTCAAGCAAAACAAACGCACTCAACAATTTGTCACCAGTTATACAGTAAGGTGCTGTAACATCCGCCGCCGTCCGCTATAGCAGGGACGGTCACGCCGCAGTCAGCCACTCTTCCTCGGCCGCTTGCGTTCCATGGTGGAGTGCACGGCCGTCACTTCCGGGTCGCAGGCCGGGTGCGTTCCACCGTGGAACGCGGAAGTGCACCGTTGTGTGCCGCGGCTCCTCCCCCTCTCCATAGCATATATAAACGCCCAGACGAGACAGCATGGCGTTCCACTATTGAGTCAGAACGCCTGCTGTCTCCTGGGACCCTCCACAACCATCTGCCTGTGTCTTTTAGCCATGCTCCTACAGACCTGACTCCCAGAGGACCCCCAGCTCCTTGTGCCCTTGTGTGTTTCTGTGCTTTTAAGGAGGCTGGGCGTCCTCCTGACAAACCTGCATCCAATTTGAAATCTTCTGCCCCCATGTGCTCCAAGATGGAGACTCTCATAGTTTAGAGTTAGGACCACACTATAAGAGGTGCCTTGGCGCGGCTTTCACATCCTCTGCAGAAGACGTGTATCCAAACCTCTGTTATTATCCTTAGTGGTGAGACAAGTTGTTTTACATGCTGGTTTGTGAGTGTGCCATGATACCTTTCTACTCTCTCAACTGTATTGGGATCCGTCCCGGCTGTGGCGTTCCTCGAAGAATGAGAAATAATTCTTAATGTATCTTAATTTCATTTGTTTATTTTAAGTTGCAATATTTTGCAGGTAAAGCTTTTTGGGGTTAATTTACAATTGATCGCATATCTAAACCCCAAAACAGAAATTTAATATAATCACAGCGTACAAATCCTTAAATGTGGCGGCTGCATTCGTTTTCTTTTTTAGTATTTTTTTTTCTTTATTTTCACATGACGATCCAGCCAGTTATACACTTCTTGTCAGTGTGGCTCCCCTCTATGAAGGAGCAGCGGAGCCGCCCTTGGAAAGAAGCATTGTCATCCTGTGGAGAGGGAAATGTTAGATGTTCGTGCAAATTTTAGATTCAAATTTTAGATGAACTTGAATAACAAATGAAATCTGAACTCCAGCTAACACTTTTAAGCAGTTGCTTTTTTTTCAGATTTTTTTTTCTTTTGCGATAAAGGTTTTACCTAAATGTATAAAAGCATTGTAGGCATGGTTTGTCTCAACCTCCTATCTGCCACTTTTGCTGAACAATTCATTCTTTTAAAGGAAATTAAAAAATAGCCGACTTACTAGCCAGATAACCAGCTAAAAATAAAGGAAAAGAAGAGTAGAACAGGAAAACTAATGCAGCCACCATATGTAAGAATTGGTAAGCTGCAATATATTACATTCTGATTTTGGGTTTAGATATGCTTGAAGCCTGGTACACTTAATGCTGGACTGCATTTCCATGACTAGTGGTAAAGAAGGGTTTTCATATACACACAACAGTACAAAACTACAACACCCATATGGAAGCTTAAAGAGAGGTGCGTCCCTGTGTCTGTTGAAATGCATTGCAATTCCAACCCCCACCATCAATGTAACACATTCTTATTTCACCATGAATGGTTAATTTGATAGATGTTGTGATCATTTGTTAAGTTAAAGTCTGCGCACTGAGTACACTTGGATAAATATTGCTCATTATATTTAGAAAGGAGAAAATGATTGCCAAAAATATGTTTATTAAATGTGTGAAACATACTAAAGAAAAATGAATCTTTCATTCCACATTGTTCTAGGTAAACAAGTGTAATCTGAAATAGTTGGTTCATTTTGGACAATCAGAACTCCCTTGGGTAGCAGTAATATGCTCATGTAGGTTTCAGATACAAATTACCATGCCTCTTTGTTCTGACCTAGTCCAACCATTCTGATGGCATGGATTATAGTACATTGCCAGTCCATTTCCACAGATCATTACAGTTGATGCTTATATTATGGAATACTGTTGTACCTACATGGAATTGATCTGTGTCCATTCAGGTGATCTCTTCATTTCTCCCAGCTGAACAGGACCAATTTGAGCACATAGTCTCTTAATTGTTGCTTTGACCACAGTGGGGACTTGGTGCAAACAACTAAGAAACATCTTAACCAAGGAATCAATATAGCAGAGCATTCGCTGAATTGCAGTTGCACACATTCTCCTTTTTTTGTCCAAAGATGACAGATTTTTTTTCTATAAACAACTTCACTCCTTGCTAAGTCATTTCTTTTTTTTTTTTTTTTTTTCACCACAGT